GGTGACTAATTACGAAAATGTTAGTCTTTTTTTCATTGGTGTGGATATGCTGTCATCAACAACTTAGGAATCAAATTACCAATAACATAGTGTTTAAAGATAGTATTCAAATTGTGTGAACTTAGCAAACAAACAGAAAGGAGTAGTTCATTACAAAATACTTTATGTATAAGTAAGACCCCCTTGGTGACTGAAAATACATTCTTTAACATTTTTATATTATGCATTTTCTAAATACATTTTTAAATTCTACATTTAAAACATATATTTTTATTGATTTCAGAGAGGGAGAGAGAGAGAGAAACACCAATGATGAGAGATAATCATTGATCAGCTGCCTCCTGCATGTCCCCTACTGGGGATCAATCGAGCCTGCAACCCGGGCTTGTGCCCTGATGGGGAATGGACGGTGACCTCCTGGTGTATAGGTCAACGCTTAACAACTGAGCCACGCCGGCCGGGCTGAATTTCCTACATTTAGGTATTAGATTAACTTTCATAAAGAATGGAAGGACACCAATAAATTTAAAAGTAATTTAATGGAAGTTACTCCAGTTAAAGGTCAATTAGATATTAAAGTGAAAGCTTCTCAAATTCCATAAAGCCTGTGAGCGTTGGATACAGTTCATGTACGGGAATTCAGTCGTTGATCCAAAGGTTATTGTGATGCCCAGCACTACATTAGGGGATAATCCAGAAATATAAGAGGTCTTTAACTGAACCTCCTCGAACTTCTTGAGAGTGAAATAAATAAGAATGGAAACAGTAGAGAAAATTGATATTTTGAGGAAGAAGCTAGCCTTTCTGAGTATGAGCCATAAGATAATTAAAATCACTAGGGTATAATTCTTATTACAGCTGTAGAGTTTATGGCCGGATAAGTGGTCCCTGTTCAACCACAGAGAGTAATTCTGGTAACTGGACAAGTTTGTTTTCCTCAAATGGGTCCCTCTTTCCCAGGAAAAGCGTTGAATAAACATCCTCAAAATCTTAATCATCTTATTCTTTTGTGAAAGCCCTTCTCTCCTTGTCCCTGAGTTCATTTCTCTTTCTTAGAGTCACATACCAGTCATGCCTCCCTGGGACCACACCCTGGTCACTGAACTTGTTCCCTTACAAATTCCTGAACCACCTTCGGGATGGGTTCCTGCAGCTAATGGCTGCTCTTAGTACTACTGGTGTCTGCCCCCACCCCCACCAAGGAAACTTCAATTTCAAGGTTGTCAGGTACATTGCTATCTCATGGACAGTTCCATGTCTCACCATAATCCATGAACGGTAATCCGGTAATCTTTCTAGCAGTGGCCACACTGAAGCTGCTGGTCTAGTTGTGTACTTGCTGCGTCTCCCTGTGGACCATCCGTATCTTGTTCACCGTGTCTCTGGCATCAGACTCCATGCACGTTTAATTGGATTAATATTAGCTGATCCACCACTGCACTTTAACTGAGTGACAGAAGAGACTGAAAGAGGGTGATCTGCATGTAATATTGAGGCTTGGGCCAGTGAGGGGAGGAGCCTGCTCCCCGAGCAGGTGCTGCTCTGAGCAGCCACCACACCTCCCCGCTGTCTTGGCATGTCCCTCTCTATAGCGGGCAGGTGAGGAGGAAGGGGCAGAGGAGCCGCATTAGCAGAGGCTTGAGAACAGAGGAGGAGGTGTCTCCAGGGCAGAGGCCTGGCCCAGCCGAGGTAAGCTGGTCATGTAGGGAGAGAGGCTTAGGCAGAGCTGAAGGGCCAGGTGACGGGAGACCTCTGTGTTCTGCCTGGACCTGTTTGCATTGTGGAGCAAAGGGAGAGATTGGCTTGGGGCAGGGCTCGATGAGGTCACCTCAGAGGGAGGATTCGTTTTTAGAATAATTGGAAAGGGTAAGAAACTAGACAACTAAGAATGGAAGGGTGGTGCTTTAAGCAATGTAGGTATCGGTGGTTGATGACAGACCTCTGGGGCAGTGGACTTGAAGGATTCATACATTGTGAATCGACAAGCCTAGGATAGGAAGGGACGTGTATTAGTACAGAAATGAACAAATAGGTGTTTAGTGCGAAGAGGCTGCTCAGAGTAACATGCTAGGTTGGATACATGTTGTTAAATATGGTAGTGCTTTGCCCAAAATGTGTGCTTCCTCTTCCAGTTCCCTCCCCTTTGTCCTTCCCGACTTTGCTCAGAATCCGTCCTGACTCCCTCAGCCTCTGTCCCACACAGCGTGCGTTGACCACTGTCAGGCACTGACCATACTGACCTCCTGTTGCCGTGCCTTCTCCTCAGCTGCACGGGATCGGGACGGTCACTTCCCTCTAGTGCCTCCTAATAGCCCAGGGATTCACGTGCTTGTGGGTCATCTTCTTGCAGCTATCTCTGGAGTGTTGAGAGTAGCCCTGTGATTGATTATTACTTAAACTGTTACCATCCAGATAATAGTGAGCCATTGCCCTGAAAGAGGCAGCAAAGTAGTGATGCAGGGGCCCTCTGCTCTCTCCCACTGGCTTTTACTGCACAGCTGGTTGTAGCATTCAACCACTGTATTGTGTTGCCTGAAGACAGTTACATGTATTTTGATTTCTTGATACAGTAAGTAACCCCAGGGGAGATACAGCAGCCTGATGTCAGTGCTTAAGTACATCAGAGCCTCCGAGGAGGAAATGGTGCCAGCACTCACCCCATCACCTCTCGGGGTTCCCGACAGAAGTACAGTGCAGTGTTCTCAACTCCATCACTCGAGATCTTTCAGGGCAGGTGGAAATGGAATTCATTAGAGGGAAAGTACTGTTTTCACTCTTCTTTACTTGCATGATCTTGCTTGAGAGTGTTGATGTGTGTTTAGGAGAGGAGTATCATTGCATTTTGGGCGGTGCTTGCATTTTTCATTTAGTGAGTGACTGTTAAGTAAGTGCTTTCCCTGGTTTGAGAGGAGGAAGGAATTTTGATGCAAAAAGATTCTTCATTCTCCATGTTCTCCTATGTAGGTACATTTAAGTTGTCTGCATCAATGAAGATGTGTAATCAGCCTTTGTTTTCCTGTTTGTCGCTGCGGTTTGAGGGGCCTTCTCAGCCTCGCACTCCTCCTCTCCACAGTTCTCACACCAGCTCAGGAGGTGGGAACTGCATTCTTCCCGCTGTGTTCTGCCGCTTCACACTGTTACTTTAAGGAATTCCTCTTTTGGTAGCACTTTCTAGTTTTTTTTGTTTTTGTTTTCTTTTTAAACTCGCTTATAATGTAGGCTCTGGGAGCTGCAGCCTTGGGATGAGTGCTCCTCTCTCTCCCTTTCCTCCCTGTGCTGCCTCCGGTGGGGTCCAGAGGGGAGCAGGGTGTCACTATGAGCAGTTAGTGTGCATGGTGACAGGGCCAGAAGATGAGCATTTCAAGTGGGGAGTGGGCCACAGGTGTTTGTGGGCCGTGGACAACTTTGACTTCCGTGAGCCTGCCCCAGGCCCAGTTGTAGGTAGCTGGGTAGTTATGGATGATTGGGGTTCTTCAAGGGGGTTGGGAGGGTTTAGGACTGTGACCCTGCCCCCAGGATGAAACCCTAGCCCATAAGACAGCTCATGACCCAGATCAGGACTCATGTCCTGGCTTTGTAAATTCTTTCAGTGTTTTCTTGAAGAACCCATTGGCAGACAAATATCCACACACCTTAACTGGGATAGTATCTCAGAAAATATAAAATATTGGAATTAGAGATTAGGGGCCTGAATATTCGCATGAATTGCATAGGTCTATTTTGCAGGTGGGAACGGCCATCCTGTGATCATTTCTGCTTGTTTTACAGGTCCGTTTAGAGAGGAGCTCTGGGTTTTTTTCTTGGGTCTTGTTCTAGCGCAGCAGTTTTCCATACCATCCTGTAGCCACACTCCTGTTCACACCACATTCTGATGTTGTGGTTCACACCATCCTGTGGCCACACTCGGTTCACACCACATTCTGATGCTGTGGGTCACACCAACTTTTGTCCGCACTCTGTTCACACCACATTCTGATGCTGTGGTTCCCTGTGACTCAAAAGCCCTCCTCCCTTCCTGCGAATCATTGATCTGCAGTAAGATCAGGGCCCTGAAGATACATCAGGGTGATCAGTAATTGTAGTTTGGGAGAGTTTTGGGTAGCTGCCTTGTGCAAATATTTCGTGAGTCCATCTAAGTACACTGACCGGGCCATTCAGGCTCCATCCATGGCCCTTTTTCCTAAACGCAGCCTTCCTCTTACCCCATGGGGCTGAGGCCTGTTACCATCCGTGTCTGGAAGGAGCTGGCAAAGTGGGCTGGGTGTCTGTACAGCTGATTTCTTAGTGTGCTGCGTGAGGTTGGACTCCTGGACCTCCTGGAAGGAGCTAGGGTGAAGTGTAGTGAAACTGGACCACAGAGTGACCTTTTTTGGCTTCAGTTTCCTAATGTGTCAAGGGGAGGGCTTGAGTCAGAATCCTATGGCTGTCTGGTCCTTTCCTGTCCCAGCTGTGCATCGCTGGGGGTTGGAGGTGGCTACGGGAGGCCTTTGCAATCCCACCACCCATTTGTCTTCCCTAGAATCTAGGTTATTCAGCTTTTAGGGCTGTTGCAGTGAAATATGCCTGAGAAGCATAATCATGCCCAGCGCCGTGTAAATATTCACACGTTCCGCACACCGCCCCCCTTCCTCAGACAGGAGCCTGTCTGCAGAGGAAGCACCGTGGTCGTTGCCTGGGTTTTTCCTGCAGCGCTTGCCACCGCCAGCTGAAGAGACTCCTGGAGTAGTGGCCATGCTGTCACAGGAATGAGCGAGGAACCTGGCACCTCTGGGAGACTCCTGATACGTGACTCCCCTGCCCTTCCCCCTCGGTTCTGAACCTGTTCTGTTAATGATTGCACCTAATTATGTATCTTTGGGCTTTTCACTGTTTACCATTCAAATGCTCCTTAAAGCCGATTGTTTGCTTTTGTGTGCTGTAAATCCTGGCTGCCTTCTGAAGCACAACTTGATGATTGTGTATTATCATCTTGGGTTAAGTGCTGTCTCATTGCTTTGCAGGCTGCCTGCTGTTTCCCGGGGAGATCATGAAACGAGGTCGCCTTCCCAGCAGCAGTGAGGATTCTGACGACAATGGCAGTGAGTCCTGCTTTGTTGTTCTTGGAGCCCACCAGGGTTTGGGGCCGAAACATGATTTTTTAATGTAATGCTTTAAATAGCCGAGGCCCTTGGCCTCCCGGGCAGGTCTCGCCTGTCAGGCAGGTCGTTGAACGCCAAGGCCTGGCGAAGCACCTTGAGTGATACTGCAGGTCTGTAACCACATCTCTCCGGTGAGGTGGCTGCATGGTCATTCCTCAGGCTTCTGTCTGTTACCCAAGGACGAGGAATCCAGTTCCCAGAGCCACTGGGCCTGTGTGTTCCTCCTGAACATCATGTCACAGGTGCTCTTTATGAGAAGGGAACTTAACCGAAGCCAGTATTATTGGCCAGTTCAACTGGATACAGAGGGAGACTGAGACTGCCTGCGGGATGTGGAGTGTTCAGGACGGGTCTGCA